GACACTCTGTCATCTTATTCCAAAGAATTGCCAGTGATTGCAGACATCTCCTATCTAAGCAGTGGAAGTAAAGGCAAAGTTCAACAAGAGAAGGCTTGAGATAATCATGCCTTCTGTGTCATCTAGATGAGCAGGAAGATTGTGATTTCATGTGGCCATTTGAACACTTCCAATTTCCCTCATTTACTTTCTCAGCAAACCCTTTATAGTGTAAATTTTATGCAGAAAAAAATGGGAAGGGTTTACATGCAAAAGAAAAAAGATAACAAACACAAGCAACCACAGAAGTCTCAAATTTTTCATTTTTTTTAAGGCAATGTTTTTCAAAATTTGTCTTTTGCTAGAAACAAGTTGTTTCTAGCAGCAGTAGTTAAGCCTGGTTTCCTGTGAACTCCAAAATATCCCCCAGTTCTCTTGAACCCTGATTATCATCCTCATCCTTGCAGGCAGATAGGTATTTCATCACAGGCTGTTTTATAAGATGGTGGAGACATTCCTGCAGTTCTCTCCTATGCCCCTACATCTTAATCCACCTTGCAGGACCCTCAGCTCTTGTTTCTTTCCTGTAACTGGTCAGAGAAAGAGCTGCTCACATTACAGCTGAGTCTGTACTATGTGTGTGTTGATTTTTAGGCCCTTTTATGTGTATTCACAGATTGGGCAGATGGCAGGCCCAGCAGAACAGATTACTATCAAGTTCCCATTACAGCTTCTTCTAAGTGGTGGAAATTGGTGAGCAGCTTCAGAGCTATTGGGGAGGAAAGACAGATGGGTATAGATAAAGATATAGGTGTCTCATCCTTATCAAGAAATGAGAATAAACTCAGAACTAATTAGAAAAAGAAGAGTTTTTTATGGCTTGGTTTAAACTCATAAACCAATTCCTTCATGCTGTAACCCGCTGGGTGTCTGAAAGGGCCAAATGTTGTGACCAAATCTGTGCTTTTGCATTAGGCAGAAGCAATAGGTCTCAAAATAGAGGACCTATGTCCTGTTGGAGTCTAAGTTCAGGAGGAATAGATGATCTTTCCCTGAGGAAGCAAAGAAGCCCCAGGTCTGTCCACCTGGGGGAGTAGGGAAACTGCCTGAGCACAAGCCTCTGACAGGTGTGTAACTGAATAAGCAGCACTTCCAACTCCTCTGCCCCAATGACCTGGAAGATTTGTCCTCTCCTCTCCCTGGGTAGGCATCAGTGCTGCTCTGGAGCAGGAGGTTCAGGTTGCATAAGGCAGGAGGCAATGTGTGATGGCTGCAGATGAGACTAATGGAGGGAGAGAGCAAACGTGGTGGAGGGATGAGTGGCACAGAGCTGGCATTGTGCTGACTCAACAGTAGTTATCAGTCTTATCAGTTGTTCTGAGTGAGTCCTTCAGGTCTGCTGCTGGGCTGTCATGCACTGGCTTTGCTGACAGGCAGTATATTCAGCACCTCTGGTGAGCTTACAGAAACGGCTGCAGCAGGGGTAATGCCTGAGGCCAAGGCACTTGTTTGTTCCAGCTCATGATGTGCATGGGTCAATGCTGGCCTCCCACCTCAATACTGGTTTTGGCTGTGTCCTCACCTGCTGGTCAGTGGATGACAGAGAGAAGCCTCTTCTCCTCCTCATTTCCTTGCTACACACCTCCTGTGCCTACGTGTGTACCTGCCTATCCCATCAGAGCTGCTTTTGAAGGTGTTTTCCCTGAATATCTTGAAAGTTTGGTTTCAAGATCAACAAGAAAAGATGTTTCTGCTCATGGTGGGAAGAACAAATTGAGGGAAGCCTGTTGCATCCCTGCTGCCCAGAATAGGAGATCTTCTCAGGTCTTGATACAAAGCAAAGTAAAGAGTGCAATTTCCTAGGTGACAAGATCTTACCTCTGCAGTCAGGACATGGAAGCAGTTGTAACAGGCCAGGGATGAGTCAGGATGAGAGGCTGCACTGACCTTGTTGAGGAATTTAGGGTTTGAGGTTGGCACATCCTTTTTCCTCTCCCATGCTGTCCCTGTCTTCACAACAAGGGATGACATTATCCCATATTGCTGTGTGTTTCTGTAGGGAGCCATGTGCTGTGCTTTGACCTGATACTAGAGACTGTCTTTTGAGCATGGAAGAAGAGGGTGTCTTTGGGGATGGAAGGAAATGTGCAAAACTAAGAGAGATGGTTCAGATGATGTGCTGCAGTGAGGTCAACTGACAAGGGAATGAAAGACAAAGCAGGTCCTGGAGGTGTTTGAGGTGAAAAGCAGCAGGATTCAGGGAGAGGCCAGACATGTGGGAAAGAGAAGAGGGAGCAGTCATCAGTGCTTGTGTGCCAGGAGGCTGGTGTAGATACATGGCAGCTTTCATCCAGGTAACAGTAACACCTATGATGCTCTCTTCTTACAGGAGAAAGCCTTTGTCCTGGTAAATTAATTGCTATCAGTTAGTTAGATGAAGTTTCTCCCTGATCCCTACTGAAACCTCTTGCATCTGTGCCACTAAGGCCATGTTGTTCCTTCTCCCTGCTGAAATCAGGAGCAGCAGATCCTGCAGCGAGACAGCCTGATCTTTGTGGCAGTTTTTCTGACGTAGATGAACCTCTGAAGTGAAGTGTGCGACATCAGGAAGATGTTTTAATCTGAATTATGTCTGCCCATCTGAATATCAGGTGCCATTACCCTCTCTTCATTATCTCCCAGCAAAGGCTGCTGCCAGCATGAGTAAGAAGGGGTTGAGTCACAGGGATGGAGAAGTTAATTTTTTTTTCAGAGGCTGTTTTCAGAGACAACCTGGCCAAAATGTCCATCATGGGGATGAATGATGCGTAGATGAATGAGGGGAGAAACCTCCTCCTAAGGGAAATAAAACCTCCCTCATGAATAACACAGAGCAGCGCTTTGAGATTCAAGATATCTAAGACCTGTTGTACATTGAATGTGAATGTGAATGAAGCTTAGACACTCTGCAGCTACACACTGGCCTAAGCATGACCTACAAGTAACTTAACACTGCCACATTTACTTTTTATTTTTTGACAGTGACCATGCATTTGGCCTCGTACCAGTGCACATCTAGAGACAAACTTCTCCCAGTCTCTGACTGAGCCAAATGTAGAAATACACTCAATAAACCCACACAAGCTCCATCTATGCTACTAAGTAGAGCAGGACCTATGTTTTGTAAGACACAGAGGCCAGAAGAGTTGAGATGGATAGTACCAGTAACAGATAAACACATGTACTGTCCTAGAGTGGTGCTTAGCTGCAGCAGTCCCTGTCCAAAGTGGGTAGACCAGGCATGGACTTTGACTGGGACAGTGCTGGTTATTGCAGGGTAAAGCCATAATGTGCTGATGATAAGAGTGTTGGCAGTCATGGGCTGGTGGGGCAATTCATCCTCAGAATCATAGAATTGTTAAGGTTGAAAAACACCTTTAAAATATCATGTCCAACTCTCAAACCAGCAGCTCCACTGTGTTCACTATTAATCCTTGTCCTCCAGTGCCACATCCACATGTTTTTTGAACTCTTCCAGGGATTGTGACTCCACTACTAACCTGGGAAATCTTACATCACTTTTCATGAATTTTTTTTTTCATAAGACCAAAACCTACCCTGGCAGAACTTGCAGCCAGTTTAGTTTGCAGTGTTGGAGATGGTTACTATGTAGATGCACACTGAAAATGTTCAGGACTTTTTTCCCATCATGTTTTTTTTCTGTTACAGATTTACTTTGGGCAGCCTACATCATTGCATGAAATTTTTTATAAAGACTCTTTTGGCCCCAGAAGCAAAGTGTTAAACCAGAGAATTTCTGCTGGAGGGCAAGACACATTATGGGCCTGTCTGTACCCTGCAGCTAAGTGTGGTGCAAAGATCACTGACGTAGATCGAAGCAAGTTGGTCTGTCCACATGAGGCTACAGAGTGCCAGAGGTACTTGCTTAGGGACTGAATGCAACATGGCATTTTTGTTGATAAAATGTCTATAAAATCATGAGTTACACAAAGAAGGGGAATAGGGAATAATTGTTCCTGATCTCTTCCACAGAGGAGGACATACCATTTCCATCAGATGACAGCAATGGGAGAGAAGTAAAGAAGTGGTGGTGATTTTTTTAAAGAATACACAGTTGATCTATCAACTTTCTTGACACAGGATGTTGCAGGTGCTAGAAGTTCATACACATTCAATGGACAATGCCCAAGCTCATGGAAGAGAAATCCATTTTGTGTTACTAAAACCAGCAAAATCATATCTGACTTAGGAAATCCCTAATCTCCAAATAATGCAGCTGGGTACAGGAATTCTTGAGGAAAGAGTCACATGTAATTATACCATTCCTTTGCTCTTCCCCAGCCATCTGCTTGTGGTCACTGTTGGATTCAGGGTAGCTGTGCACCATGTTCCTCTGCATGTTCTGGTTGTGGACTGGTACCCCAGCACAATGTCCCTTTACAAGCTAGAGAAAGCTGTTGGGCTTGTCCCCAGAAATGAACCTCAGACAGATTGTGATGAGGAGTTTCTGTCTCATCTGAAAGGCACCATGGAAAAATAAGCATTAGTGCTCTGCAGTCCAGAATTGGAGTAACACTCTGAGACATGACATTTCTTCATGCCAAGCTATTCTTCTTGGTGCCAACCCAGATGAGTTCTGTCTTGAAAGCTTAAGCTGCTGGGCAGGGTTATCAAAGACAGAGTATTAATGACATTGCTTCCAATGAAGGTGAAACTTATTTAGACTGTCTTTGAGCATTCAAATTATATCTCATTAAATATCAGACAAACCTGCCTGCTGTGTCACACTGCTGTGTTGTGGGATCTCAACAAATTGGTTACTATACTAGACTAGTATAGGCAGTATTTACCTAGTTGTGGTCCAAGTAAAAGCTCCAGCTATACCTTTCTAGCTGTTATCTCAGCCTCATGGCTTGTTGTGGGATGCATTTCCTACACCTAATTCTAAAGGCTTCTGTTCAATCTTTCTTCTTCACCACAGAAAGAAAGAGAAACACTGATGTCATGCTTAACCTTTCTATTTCTCTTTAAGCCTTGTGTTTCTTACGGCTGACATAGTCATCTCTTTATACTCTGCAAAAGGGCAGTGGCATTCATGTAGAGGAAATTAGGATGAATTTTGGTAGCTGGAATCTGCTATCAAGGCAGTTGCTTCTGCTTCTGCCTCTACTTGATGTAAGTAAAACCTGAGTACTTGGAGACTAACCCCATGAACTACATCCTTTCCTGGCGTCAATGATCCTTTGTGCCCCTCTTCCTCTGGCAATTACTGGCCTTCCCATTTTTTTTTTCCAGAGGCAGTCTCTGATGTTAAGAAGACAGTGATTTGTTTTAGATTTGAAATTTGCTGAATTTCAGAGAAAATTCACCACTGCAGTTTACTTTCCATGCATTGCTCTGTATTGCTAAATAGATTCTGTAATGCTAAAGTAATGGAGAGTTAAATCTTTCTTTGGTGTATTTTGAAACCCGTTCATTTCAGAGTGTTGAAGGCAATGACTAAGGTCCTTAAAGCCATGCTGTATAGGAGAAATATGTGACTTCGAACCCCTGTACATGAATCTATTTGTAAAATCTTTTTCCAGCTTCATGAAAAAAGTCTTCTTTACCCCAGATTCATGGTGAAAATGCAGTAAAAGACATTTATCTGATATTGTGGAAAGCAAGTATGACTTGGGGCAGAATAGAAATCAGAATTTCTGGATGTACTATCTACCTATGTGACATGGAGGGAAATTATAGCCTGCTGGGGTCTGTGCTTCCCTATCTGTAAAACAGGGATATGGATATATTCCTATCTTATAGGATACATAATTACAAAACCTGTGACAAATCTTAGAACTTCAATTGTGAGATAGTGTGTAAGAACATAATATTAATGTTTTATAATCTCCCTAAACTGTCTCTGGAGATATCTTTAATGAGAGGCATATAGTGATATCAAAAGGAATCTTTTTTTCACCCCAATCATTTTTTTAGAACCCAAAGTGAAAGTTGTTTCCACCAACTGCCATCTCTGCAACCATCTGGAAAATCACATTTTCTGAAGCTTTCCTTCTCTTTATCATCTGTAACTATAGCTATAAAATGGGATGATGTCCCTGGTTTAATTAACACCCCTGTAGTTCAAAAGCTGGTCTTAGTAATGAGAGGCAATTATAGCCTTTATTGAGGGACAGTCAGGTGGAACTAACCCAGCATCAATCTGTTGAAGACACTTCCCTTTCCAGGTAATTTGGAAACTGCTTTTTATGATGAACAGACTACCTGGCTCAATACAACAGGTGAATCTCTTCCTTTTTTAACCTGAAAAGGAACATCCTATTCTGAATTATGTGCTTCTTTTGTAAGCTGTTTTTTACATCCCATCCATCTGCCAACAACTAGCAACTGAGCTAAGGAAATACCTGTTGCTTTTGGGAAGGCATTCTTGCTGGGTTTCTTCCCTTGACCACTGAAGGTTACCTGGTGTTCATATGTTCATCCTAGTAAAAGTGCAGATTCTGTGGTGCACCCACATCTTGAGGGATATGCAGAGTTCTGGTTTCTGCAGCTCAGAAATAATGTGGTAGAACTACAGAAGGTCCAGAGAAGAACATTGAAATCGTCAAGGGAATGTGACTTCTGCTATATGAGTAAAATAGGCCCTGACTTCAGTTCAGATAGGAGAAGACTGAGAGCAGAGAAAAAGCTGAGTTTAGCTGAATCCATGAAAGTGATAGATAAGGTAGATGTAGAACTTCAATACTGGAATTAAGGGACACTAGCTGAAACAAGGAGATCTGTTTTAAATTATAAAGTATCTATTTTACAGAGGAGATAGTGAACTTCTGGAATTTGTTGCCACAGGAGACTGAGGAGGTGTGCAGTGTCAAGAGTTTCAAAAAATGGATTAGACAAATTCAGAGCAGCAGGTCCATGACCTGAGTCTAATGGTGATGAGCAGGACTGAGGCAGTACTAGAGGAATGGTCCTGCCTCAGGGGTATCTCAGGTGGTCTCTGCCTCCAGCTTCTGATCTGTAAGAGTGTGGGTCTGCTGTATGCCCTGTGTTTTATCTGCCAGCCATCTGTGGGTAACCTGGTGTCTCAGGGGTCTCATGTGAAGGTAGACGACTCTGGAAAACTGATTTAAACCCTCAGTGTGTACAACACAGGCACCTACATTAGAGAGAGTCACTGAAGGTGGAGCTCTACTCGTGATTCAGATACCCTCATTTGGCTGTTTGCAGGTAGTTGTCTACCTGTGCTGTAGGTGGCTAAATTCTAATGCAGTTAACAAATGTCTAGTTGGTCTAATGGGACTTTATGGATATGGTCAAGAAACAGTCAGTACTGTCATTTCATCTTGATATAAAGTATACTTGGGGTGGTCAGTTAAATCACTCACTTCTGCCTATTTTTATTGAATCTTTGACTATATTGGGAGTTTGGACACATAGCACACACTTAGATACTCAAATTTAGGTATATTAATCTTGAACTGAGTTCTGTTCCAGGATTTCTATTACAATGACTGTAGAGAAATAGTTGTCTCCTCTAGGTAACTCATTGACCTATTTCAGACACCTCAGGGCACACAAGAAGAACTGCCCTTGTGAAGTCCATATGTCTACTCACTGATTTTAAGGGGAGTCTAGATAATGGTACCCACATGGTCAATGTACACCATGGCCAGGTGGGATCCAGCCATCCCATTTCACAGACTTTGGTATTATCATGTAGAACCTCAGCTGTAAGAAATGTAATTTTTAAAGCATATGAAAAAGTGAAATTATAATTTCAAAACAGTCCCCACTTATGGTTTGATTTAGAATAAAAGCTTAGCCATGATTTTACCATCTGTAAACTATGCTGTGAAACGTGGTACATCTTCTGTCCTGGGTTAGTTTAACATCCTGATGAAATTGCCTTTTTCAGGCTAACTGTCAAAGCTGTAAAACTATGGAACAATCTGGTAAGTTGATTATTCTTCAGTAATTAAAGATAGAACAGGCAATAAATCCCTAAATTCCTGTGGTATTCCAGCAATGAGTGACTTTCATAAGGTGTCTAGAAGAAAAGTTTGTTCAGAATGGAAGAGTTTAAAAAGGAATTTCATTGGTTGGTGGGTCTGTGGATGCTGTGAACTCCATGCTGTCAGCAGAGGGAGAATTTGGATGCCATCAGTGTACTCTGGTTTTGGGACAGGGCAACACCAACTACTCTCAAAAACACTGTGGGAAAGTCCATCTATTTCCAAAGTTTCCACTATTGCATGTGATACAGGAAGTACATAAAATATCTTCAGTGAATTAATGCAATATAAACTTGCTTAGACTGAACACTTGTTTGAGGTAGAATGAATTGCCCATTCTTTCATCTTTCTCACTCCTCTGTGAACAACTTTGTTGTTCTGTGTCTTATTTACTCTGGACACAGGACATGGGTGAGGAGATATCGGAACATCATGTGACTGTAGTGTTCCTGCAGCTTTGGATCTGGCTGTAGCTTCAGAGGCTCTGTGGTTCATGTGGCTTGCATGAAGAGGGACCTGTGGTCACCACCTGCCTTGCTGACTGTGCTATCTTTTCATTCCCCCTCCCAGGCTATGGACATGCTGCCCCAGGAACGGATGCAGGGAAGGCCTTCTGCATGTTCTACGCAGTCCTGGGGATCCCACTGACACTCGTCATGTTCCAGAGCTTGGGCGAGCGCATGAACACCTTCGTCAAGTACCTCTTGAAACGCATCAAAAAGTGCTGTGGGATGAGGAGCACTGAGGTCTCCATGGAAAACATGGTCACTGTGGGTTTCTTCTCCTGCATGGGGACACTCTGCATTGGAGCAGCAGCCTTTTCCCAGTACGAGGAATGGAGCTTTTTCCATGCTTACTATTACTGCTTTATAACATTGACTACGATAGGGTTTGGAGACTATGTGGCCCTGCAGACCAAAGGGGCCCTTCAAAAGAAGCCTCTCTATGTGGCTTTTAGCTTTATGTACATTCTAGTGGGATTGACAGTCATTGGGGCATTTCTAAATCTGGTTGTTCTCAGGTTCTTGACCATGAACAGCGAGGACGAGCGGCGGGATGCCGAGGAACGGGCATCCCTGGCAGGGAACCGCAACAGCATGATTATCCACATCCAAGAGGACTCCCAGCATGGTCGGCCACGGTACAAGGCCGAAGTAACAGACCTTCAGTCAGTTTGTTCCTGCATGTGTTACAGGTCCCATGAGTACACCAGCCGGGTGGTGTCCCACCAAAATTCATTCAGCTCAAAGCTGAATCCCCAGTACTTTCACTCCATCTCTTACAAGATAGAGGAGATCTCGCCAAGCACATTAAAAAACAGCCTTTTCCCATCTCCTGTCAGCTCCATCTCACCTGGGTTGCACAGCTTTACAGATAACCACAGGCTGATGAAACGGCGAAAGTCCATTTAAAGGGATATGTCTTCTTTTGCTTTCCTTGTTTTCCCCAGTTCTTCTCCGTTGTTTCGGGTTTTTTTTGTTCCTTGAGTGAGACGGAGCGAGGCCAAAGGGAGTAGAGAAAGCCAATCCTCCTCTGAGACTCAGCTCTTGAGCATGAAGCATGGATTATTACCGTTCCAGCAAAGTATGCCTTACATTACCCCCTCGGTGGATGTCAGAGGATTCAAGGTGACGTGAAGTGGGTACCAAATCCAAAGTTGCACACACAGCTGGGAGCCTTCATGTGCCGCTGGCACTCCTGACCTAACAAACTTTTCTCCTCACGAGCAGGTTGCAGCGTGCGTGTGCTTGCGTGTGTGTCGGGTGCGTGTGCGTGTGTGCGCGTGCAGTTCCACAACTAGTGCCATGTGACAAAAATTCAAGCATCAGGTATTATTTCTTTTCCCTTGAAGCAATTGTGTTCCAGCCTGCTTTTTAGATTGCTTCCAAAAGGAACAGGGGAGGGTGGTGGGGGGGGAGCCAATTTGTTTTGTTTTTTTGCCAAGACAAGCATGCGCCATAAGCAGTCAATATACCAGGTGTATCATGATAAATTTTTTAATGCTAGATTTTAGATTGTATTAACATTTAAAAAGGCAGGAAAAGATGGATCATTTTAGCTTGCCAGTTCAAAATTAAAAAAAAAAATAAAGCATGCACTTTGTAAAACTGGTATGCATAATAAAAACACAAGAAAAACTAGCAATGGAATTAATAATCAAAAGCAAATAATCCTATTGATTTAACTATATTTAATTTTATCATTTTCAACTGTTCCAGCAATTTGCAAGTGGAATTTTTAAGATAAATTGGGAGAATTGTTGGAACAAAAGTGTATTTT